ATAGACACCTGCGGTCCAGAGTTTTGCAAATATCTCAGCAACGTTATGGTTGTATTTCGCTTAGTAACCTGCCATGAAAATTATATAAGGTAGAAAACAAAACGTTAAACATTGTGTTTTCAACTACAGTCATAGCTTAACTGGGTTCTACGCCGATTTGCGCTCCCCAGATCAACCCCGCTGACGGGTGATTGCTGTGGCAGAAAGATCGATAGAAATAGCTGAGAGACAGGCGAAACGAAGGACCCGCATGGTGTGGTGGTGAACGCGTTCGTTCCCCACCATAGACACCTGCGGTCCAGAGTTTTGCAAATATCTCAGCAACGTTGTGGTTGTATCTCAGCATTATTGAAGTTTTGACTTTTATTTGCTCCCTATACTTTTTTTTCCATGGCAAGGTACTGTGTGAAATACAATCACAAAGATGCCGAGATATGAGCAAAACTCGGAAGCTTATATCTCGGCATCTTGAAGAACCCACGGTTGCCTTTTCGGGAGCTTACGTGTTATCCAGTATCCAGATGTCCCAAGTCGGCTATTTTGTTCTCCTAGACAAGTCTAGGAATAATTTTTCGACCTCGAAGGCAAAGGAAATTTGGTGAGCCTGTGGCACTAAATCAAACCACGGCAACTGAACTCACACGCTAACGTTCAAGGATCTTCGTGAATGAAGAACACGAGGGAAACGAATCCCATGCCAGAAGTGCTGGGATTCGCACAGTAGATGTGATAACGGGTCGCCCAAAATGAAAATGAAACGTTTGTGGACGATGTATGTGAGAAAACGAATCGAATTGCTGAGACCCACACAGTAGACATGAAGGTGTGTCATTTAATATAAATGCTAAAAAATGAAATAGTCATAATGGCACAAATAACGGAACTTTCTTATTGCTTTGGATTGTCAAGAAGCTTATCGAAAAAGAAAGTAGAAAAACACGCGTTCTTCTTTGATCGAATCGGCAGTTTTGCCCACGAGTTCGAAATGTTCACGAGATTGGCGGTAGAACCCAGGCAATCCGCGGTTGAATAGTTGATGACGAGAGAGGTTCTTGGGGTTACGATTTAAAATAGCTCTGGACTAATGGCTACCTACTGAGGTGTCTAGGAGAAATTTATGATTGCAACAAAAACTCAAAAATTCAGACGCAGAACTTCAAACTGCGAGATGACGAATGCAGTTTGCCAGTGTTCGATTAAGTTACGCGCTTACTAATCGGACTGTAGGTGAACTAACAGTGGAGTCAACGACTTCCTTAATTTTAGCTGCATTTCTGTATAGTTCTCTCTAGGAAAGGTAACACATGGATGATCTCAAATGTGGACAGTAATCTCCAGGTAACCTTCACTTGACAAATGATTAGAGAAGCGAACTAACTGATCTGCTACAATTGTTCGTGGCCTGAAACGTTGAAAAGAAAGCGTAGAGAAGAGATTGCGGACAAACGGCTAGCATCCACCGTATTTCCACAACGGTAGATCGTCTCCAGTTGAAAATCTCTCTTGGTACAAGGCTCTAAACTTTTCCCTCTTACGGCTACAATAAGTTGAGGATTAAATACCCAACCGAGTATTGGACTACCGCAATTCATTACACCGGCCAGATATGCATTCAACCACTTCTAACGATATTTGGTGAAATCGGATGTACAACGCACCCTTAGGGAGTGGCCAACGCCGAAAGCCTTATTGCACTTACCAGCGAAAACATTTGAAGAGTACAAAAAGAAAATATCTCCTCGCAATCGCCAATCCTCCAACTTTTAACCCTATCTGGAAAAGTCTACGATGGCGGAAATAGATGGCAAAGTTATGCGATGGTTAGCATAAACGGATGCCTACTTCGAATAGCTCTACTTAGTGACGTCTATCCGGTTTGCTAATTGTCGCACTGCAGCCGAAAATCAAATTTACTAGCATGGAGCAACAAATGTCTTTTGTTTCAGAATCCCAGATAATTTGGGATTTCTATAAGGCAGGAGCAACAAGTATGTGGAGGGTCAAGCCTGAGCTTCATGTATGCCCTGTGCATTTGAAAACTAGACAAAACCCTCTTTAGTGCAGAATGAGTTTTTCGATGGCAACTAGGAAAAAGGGATCGAGGGAGTTAAGATTAGCAAGGTGACCATCAACATGTACAGTTCATTGCTTTACCTTTTTTCACCTTTGGCACTTTTTAAAGCTATCAATGCTATAGACTTTATACCCATAAGGCCTAATATTTAAATAATCACAATAATGCTGAGATATTTGCAAAACTCCGGACCGCTGGTGTCTACGGTAGGGTACGAAGACGCCATTATCCTTTCCGGAGAGAGTAACGTGCGGTAAATTCACCATAATTCTACTACTGTAACTCTATAACTCTTGTGTGCGATAAGAGAAGCTCGTTCACTACCTAAGTACACTGTTAAGGCTTTGATTTCTAAGATACGCAAAGCAAATTTCGGCTTTTTCTAAGAGAACCACCAATTCCAAACGACAACTGTGAATTCATAAAGCGATTGGAAATGAAATAACAATCAATTACTAACCAAAAGTTGGAACATATAGCTTCGAATTACGACTAAAAGCAGTAAACGGATTAAATTCCGTTTTAGATCGACTGGTCATCGAGAGTGAACTCGATGGCGATTTGATAGTCACTGATGATAATGCAGTCGGCAAGATGTCTGACAATGACGGCTCAATCTTCTTCGATAATTCTCCGATAACCATGTAAGAGTCGATCAATCACTCCTAATTGGTTGTACATCAATACATTTCTATGACGCTGAGATATCTGCAAAACTTGGATCTTGGACCAGATTCTCGATATTGTTTTGCAAGTATCTCAGCATCACAGTGGTTATACTTGACATTATACGCTTCCGTGAAAAATAATAACAGTCAATAGATAAAAAGTTTACGTAATACATTTCTAACAACTGTTTATGCCTCCTATGGTAAAGCTTCTTTTAGGGAGGCCAATAGATACGGACAAGAGGAATGACCGATGAGAACATATACTAATGGAAAGACGAAAAAATCCATTAATTGCCTTCGATGGGAACTGTTAAACCGCTACGACTGAGCTTTATCGGAACACCTGTTCTATTTTGAAATCAGATCGCCCCTAATTCACAGTAATGGTAAAGTACGGATCTTATAGCCTGCTGGCTCATTTCCATTCCACACGCAATGCGCAGTATGATGGACAAGACAAGTTCTTTAGGATCAGGATGCTGAGAAATGACGAAAACTCGGAATTCCAGCTGTGCTTCGAACTCTGGATTACCTTTCCTAGAGGCTCACCTGGTTGAACTCACATAATACCCTGTCATAAAAAAAGAATACGTAGTAGATAAAAGGGAAACACCGTTATTTCGACTGCAGCCATAGCTTAACTGGGTTTAGCACCGACTTGTGCCCCCAAATCATTCCGGTTGACGAGTAATTGCTGATAGTGTCACTAGAGTAAAAAAAACTGGCTGGAAGCCAAACGGAACGTTTCAGATGATAACGTTGATAGCACGTGAGCACTCCGAAGAGCTAATCTCACTTTCGAAATCCAATTGGGTTTCCGAGTTTTGCTCATATCTTAGCATCCGCTTGGTTGTACTTCATATAATACCTTATCATGAAAAGAAGGACAAGCCGCAACTTGAAGTTAAACATTGTTATTCTATCAAGGTCAACCACTAACTGACCTTGTCAACAGGAATTGCAGTACATTGTGTAGACTGCACGCAGTGGGTAAAGCTGTCAAAATTGCAACGATTTTAACCACGAGTAAATACATCGGACGAACGGGCCCATATGTACAGGGTTCCCTGGTGTTAAGAACATCTCACTAGCGATGTCCAGGTCTCTTTTTTATGAGTTTCTTATTGCACGCAGTGGTAGAAGAAAAAAAGCCCTTTCACAACAATGCACATCTGTGGGAAACGTACAGTGAAATTAATGCGAACGGTACACAATGTCACATTCCCACATATACATTCGTGTCAGCGCATACAGCTACCCACATGTTAAACGTATACCAGAACCTCATGTACACCTTTTTTGAGCTTCATGAAAATTCGGCAAGAGAACTTCTTTTTGTCTCTGGTACGCCGGAATAATAGTTATGCTTCCTACACATGTGATCACATTCATGAAGAGGTACGCGGATTTTGTTTGCGTTCCAATTTTATTCCGTACATAAATTTCTTCAAACCTTGAAGCATTATTTCGAAACCGACTTTCCTTGAACCTCGGTATCTATTTCCTCGCCTGGTACATTATCATTATATCGACCATCAGCACCGTGTATAAAAGGGCGCCACTGAGTAAGGATACCTCATTCGAGGAGATGGCTCACTGAGGAAGACCTGACTCGACACGAAGGCGAAGCTGCCACGTAGAGACGAATAACAAGCGAGGACCATCGACTCGGATCATCGGCTTTGAGGACGACGAAGACGTCGAAACGTTAGCCGAAAATAAACATCGTTATCAACCTCGTGTAAGCTCATCAAAGAAAGAATACATCTTGAAGTATTAGTTAAAATGTACCATACGGCTTCCTATTAAACGCATAATACCTACACCTACGGAAAAGCTAGTGGGTAAGGTCACACGATGAGAAAACCCGTCAGAGAATTTCATGAGAACTATTGGACACTTCTTCTACTCAATTCATCAGCGAATCAATCTCTTTGAGCAAGTATGGCTTGCGATATGAGCGTCTAATGGACTCAACTTGCAGCCATTCAATTCATTCATTTTGTAGGACCACATATGCTAAATTTATTGCTATTTTTAATATCGGTAGACATAACTTTCATGGCTAAGAGTGTCAACGAGTTGCAGCATTTCAATACGTGTGTCATTTGTCAGCACCTTGCAGAACTGATTCCGATATTTGAATTTTCATTTGAAATCCGTACACTCAAACAACAGATATTAAACAGATAAAATACGAGCTAACACGCTGCAACCACACTTTTATAGAAAAGTACGGTGCAGTTAAGTGATCGCTACAATTCCTCCTCGAACTCCTCGTCATCATCTCCATTGTTGGTCAAGTTTCTTTTCGACTGGGATTGACCTAGGGAATTAGGTACTGCCGCTGCGGCTGCCTCCGAAACCGCGGCTAAAATACGTAGGGCTTCCGTATCTTCGGACATCAGCGTATCAGAGTTCTCTACCACTGAATCTTTCTCATTACGTTGAAGTTGAGATGAGTTGGGTTGTTGTTCAAAATTAGTAACATCTTCGGAAACGTCAGTATTAGAGCCGTCTGTGTTCACAAATGGTTTAGGTGGCCTTGGAGGTGGAACGGCAGGAAGTGGAAGGGATTTTATGAGACGATGTGGTGGCACCGCACGAACAGACGAGTGGATCAAACGATGTGGTGGCAATGGCCTCGATGGTAGTGGTGGACGCGGACCTACAGTTGACTGAGTTGACCGCTGACTGAGACTAGACGGTGGAGGTGCTGATAAGGCTGTATGAGTAGGGGAAGGAAGCGAGTCCGTTTTCCGAAGAATTGAAGGAAATCGTTGTCGAAGTGTTAATGGCGACGGTGGTGGAGGAAGGAGACGAGATCCAGGATCAGAATTGGAAGCAGTCTGATCCTTTACAGCTTTAGTTTGCTGTGAATCATTCCGTGGGGAAGCCGGTGCAATCGTAGTTGCAGCAGTTCCTCCCGTCCTCTAAATTAAAAAAAAGTATGCGAAACGAAATAATTTGTTCCACTCAACCAATTCAAACTACGTACCATCTCGTGAATGGATCCACCTACATTTCCCATACTGCGCACTGATCTAAAAACAGGACCTCCGGAATGGTTCCTAAATTAGAGCCCGTTTTCCCCTCGCTTTAAACGACTACGAGATGATTTCATATATA